TTTATGAACTTTAGTATCTGTCGGTATAATAACTACTTTGAAACATAAAACAAACTCAAATTACATCCATCTATGTACCTACTCGCAATATTGCTTCGTTGTAGTCAGTTTATCATTATTTATCATATTTTGGCAGAAAAGTATAAACTTCAGTATTTATTGCTTCAGTAGATATATATTTAAAAACTAGATTAAAAAAAACTGTTTTATGGTAACAGTATATATCATTTACCAGCGCATCTATAAAATTTTATAGTTTTGGATTAAAATTTATATTATTCAAGATTTATGATGATTTGTAATAATTTTATGTTTTTAATTTATGTTAAAAGTAATTAAATTAGTTTTATATCTACACGTGTCAATGATTTTCATAATCTAAAATTTGAAATTAGTCAAATATATAATTAAATGAGAATTTATGTCTAAGTAATTAAAATTTGTAAAAATAATGAAGCATCATATAGATATTATCAGAATATGGAAGGTTGTAAAAATTGAAACAAATTACAAGCCAAGGATGGTAATTGTGCACTAAATATTTTTATAATAAAAATAATTTAGTCATTGAATCCTAATTTACAATTGAATTTTAATAACTTAAGTTGTTTATGTTTATGACAGTTATGTAAGAATTATTCAACTACTATCTCAGTAGTGTTTACAGTGCATATATCTAGAAATTTGTACATCTGACCATTTTTTCTTCTAATTTTTTTTTCGAGTTTTCGAACTGTTGAAAGTGTAATTCACATTATAATTTTTAATAAGGTGCATGATAAGGAAAATGAAACGATGTTTTAATAAAAAGTTTTACCGGAAAGTACTTATACCGAACACCTGAAGTATTATAAACTTAATTAAGTTCAGAATTCACTGTAGGCCAGGAACCTGAATAATAAATATTCCGAGAGACGAAAAATATAATTTTCACTTTCGCGAACAAACTCTTATCCCTGATCGCATGTTATTTTTACAGAATTGTTTTATTGAAGATAACCGGATGAAAAAATGGAAGGTTTATAAAATATTTACGTACAATGATATAAACGTGAGTGAATAAATTTTGTTATGAAAGAATTTCTATCTTTACCTTATAATCTTAAAGCAGGAGTTTTTGGTTTAGAAATAAATATTCAAATTTATGATTATCTTCATTGATATAGCTATTTATAAAAATCTACAACAAAAAAAGATTATTTTACTTTAGATCATATAAATGAATTAGTAGACAATATAAAAAAAAAAAAAACAAATAACTATGGCAACAAAAAAAAGAACAAATATACTGACTAATCACTGGTTTGTTAAAAATGCGAGACAAAGAAAAAAGGATTGTATTGTCTGTCCTGACAGAAAAGCCCTAGGATGAAGGCGGCGAAAAACATTTTATTGTAAAACATGTCAAAATCAACCAGCTATGCATTTTGGAAATTGTTTTAAAGGTCACCATTCTTTATAAAATGATCAAAAATAAATTAATATTATAAATGTATGTCCTTCAATGGCCACAAATTTTTATCAAACAAATTGCATAACATACAGTATGAAATTAAGTTTACAGCCGGTACAGTAGATTGTTTTGATATTGGTGCCGTCCCGTAAGTGTTAAAATGTTTGAACTTTGTGTAAACCGGGATCATATTTACAAAAAATACGATAAAATAATATTTAAATATTTGTAATAAAACCAGAATTATATCAATACAAAAATAAATCTATCAAGAATAAAATAGTAATAGCAAATACAGTAATGATGCAAATATACAAATTATAAAATAATTATTTATAATTTAATGAAAAATATAGATTTCTAAAACAAAAAATAAAGCCGTAATGAAAACAGCAGCAAAGTGAATTTACTACTTTTTAAAATTTTGTTAAAGTAATTTATACCTGTAGCCAAAAAAAAAACTTTGCAAGAAACAAGAAATATTTCATTTTTATGCTTATTTTTATTATATATTTGTTCATACTAAATACATAATTATCAAATATTATTAACAATTAATAATTATTTGAATAAATTCAATACTGTTTTAGATTCTGAAGAAAAATCTAAAGAATTAACCTCATAGCAATAATAAGTTAGTTTAGATATTTTTTTGTAATAAAAATGAAAATTAAACTAAAATAGTACAAATACAAACTGAAAATATTTGCAAATGTGGTTGTCGAAATTTAACATCTTTTCTTACTGAATTATATCTATATAAAAATATTCGAGAATTTGAATGCAGTATTTTTAATTTGGCAATAGGAAAAAAAATTAAACCAGAAACAATTCAAAAAATCTAAATCGACTTGAATAAAAAAATTATCGTAGCTTCATCAGTCCAGTTACTAAATATTTTTCAATGGCAGTTTTAATTTATAGTGACTTTGAAAAAATATATCAAAATGTTACAAATGCTGATAAACAAATTGTTGCCAAAATGGGTGTTCAAAATTTGATATTGTTTCTAACTGATGAAGGTAGAACTATGTGAGAATGTTAGCAAAATTCAACGCAATAAAAAAAATTAAAAAAATGAAGTAAAAGAATTGACTTGGCCAGAATTAGTTTTACAGAAACCACAAGTTTGATGTCAATAGCAAGTGATAGTGATCAATTAAAAGAAATTCGATAGATATAAATAAATGTTATAGTCCAAATTTTGTACAATTGAATAATTTGTGAATTCATAGTATATATAAAGTTTTAAGTATTATACATAAATTTATTATTATTATTATTATTATCAATATTAGTAATAAAATAATACCTGCATCTACGAATCCACATCAAAATTAATTCAACCACAAAATCATATTTCTGGGTACACTTTATATACCATATATTTTTATACTGTATTATGTATTACATTACTGAATATCTTTCAATGGCAATTTTAATTTATATTGAGATTAATAAAAATATATCAAAATGTTACAAATGCAGGGAGACAAATTTTTGCGAAAGTGGTTGTTGGAAATTTAATATTGTTTCTTACTGATAGAGATAGAACTATATTAAAATTTTAGCAAAATTCAACGCAATTAAAAAAAATAAAAAAATGAGGTAAAAAATTTGACTAGGCAAGAATTGGTTTTACAGAAGTAATAATGCAGATTTGATGTCCATGGCAAGTGATAGTAATAAATTAATAAAATTTCGATGTTATACTCCAAACTTCATAAAATTGAATAATTGAATAAAACTATAGTATATATAAAATAACAAGTACATAAATTTATTATTATTATTATTATTATTATCAATATTAGTAATAAAATAATACCTGCATCTACGAATCCACATCAAAACTAATTCAACCACAAAATCATATTTCTGGGTACACTTCATATACCATATATTTATCTATTTTTTCTGTACTTTATTTACATATACATTATCTTCATTAGTAATCTATCTGTTATTTAAAATAACGTCTACGCCGTCAACGTAGCATCCCGTTTAAGAGCTCATCCGTCGGCGCCTACGAGCACGGATGCTGTGGTACTGAGCGTGACGGCAGATTCACCCGAAAGCTTCGGAGATTTTCCCTCTGAGCGCATGTTCGTCGAACATGTGTGTGAAAAATACGCATATTTTCCGAAAGAGTTCCGTACCCTGATGTAAGAAGAGTATAAACTAGTGGTGCGTGACATTGTGCCTTAAGGCAAACAGCTGGAATTTCACGTACGGTAACTAAATATCCGAGAAATAAAAATAGTCAGCAATCAATAAAAATTGATCTTTGATTAAAATTAATTGTTTTGAAAATTGGGATAACATTGAATGAACTCTTTGGGGACGGCTGTCCACCTTAGTGGATAAACATACTCTGTGAGACACAGGCTATTTCATAAACAATGACTCAGTTTGCATCGAAACGTTGAATAAATTACATATAGCAGTGATAAACAGTTTTGTATATTAAAAATAATTTTAAGTTTCTTTAGTAGTATTTTTAGCCTTTTTCTTTGCTATATTGTCTTTTTTTAATATTTAAAACGACCGAGCGCTTTTACATATGGCAAAACGACTGGCAAATTTTGTGAATTTAGCAGTAGTTAAGATGAGTTTTAAATAGTCATTCATACAGACAATTTTTACGAAGTTACCATTCGCACCGAAGATAGTGATGAATGTGATAATGATATTATCCAACGAACAAAAAGAAGAAGAAGTTCAAAAAATTAAATTAAGAGTGGAAAGACATTAGGGAATATGCCGATTTTCCTTCAATACTCGAGTTTGACATACATCAACAAACACCCCGACTACAAATACCAAGCAATATCCAATAGATTATTTTACTTTATATTTTACAAATGAATTATTAGACAATATAATAGAAAAAACAACCCATTTTGGCAGCAAAAATATTAAAAAATATACTGACTAATCAGTGGTATATTCTAAATGCGAGGTAAAGAAGGGATTGTATTGTCTGTTCTGACAGAAAAGCACCCGAAGGAAGGCGGCGAACAACATTTTATTGTAAAACATGTCAAAATCAACCAGCTATACATTTTGGAAATTGTTTTAAAGGTCACCATTTTTTATGAAATGATCAAAAATAAATTAATATTATAAAGGTATGTCCTTCAATGACCATATTTTTATGAAACAAATTGCATAACATACAAAATGAAATCAAGTTTACAGCCGGTACAGTAGATTGTTTTGAAATCGGTGCCGTCCCGTAGGGATTAATCATCAATGATTTATGAATTAGCATTCAATAAAATTGAATAATTAAATTAGACCTAACAAAATAGTTATTGAATTATATGACGTGACTCGTAAATGAAACTCTGCATACAAAGAGTATGTCATTCGTGCGTCGAGCGTCATACAGGTATTTATGTAACTGAGACGCACAAAAACATATTCTACTGCAATCTATTTGGTTTATAAGTTACAAAAAATAAATATAATAACATTAAATAAATATTATCTGATGTGAGTGTTATAATATAATCATAACTACAGTAAAAAAAGCAATACTCACTTATCCAAAACATTTATGAAACAAGCACAAACGTTAATCACTAATCATCATCACTACTATAAAACTGCCCTGGTTCCTTCGAGACCTCAAACAGTGACGACGATGACCCCGGGTGCATTCGGCGCACCCGGGGTCAGCACGCCTTGTTCTTGTCCCTACCGAACGCAGGTACAAACTGAAGGAGTTTGTTCGACCATTGCCTTAACATCAAAAAACATAGACCAACAATGTTGCATTGTATAGATAAGAACTTCGGTTGGTAAACAAACCATTTGAAGTTGTATCGAAATATCAATATAGCAGATACAATTGCCCTCTTTGGGTGTATTTGATTTTAATTCCTATTTATAACATTTTTTTGAAAACACTTTGGTAACTAAGTTGGCGGTAACTTGTGAGCAATAATAATGGCGAGCAAATGCTCTGTCAATGTTTTCTTAGATGATTTAAAATTAAAGTCTTTATTCTAGATTTTTATAAATAGACACACGTCAATGAAAATAGATATACTTTTAGATTATTATTAACTTATTATTTTTTTGAATTTTTAATGGAAAACAGAATACAATATTCTATGATTTATTTGGCTTAATTATTGTGCTAGATTTTAATACATTAATAGTAGTCACTCTAATTAATGATTCACCAATTTTGCTTATTTCTTCAATGGTGTGGTAATGTTAATAGTCTTGAATATTGTCTCTGAGAACCTTTTCTTCAGACTTCTCAGACTTTGATCTCAAAAAGCTGAGTGACTACGGAATTTGTATGTTCTTCCAGTTTTAGAAAATGTTATAGTTGTATCGCACTATCTATAAATTCTATATAAAGATTTATACTGGACTACAGGTGAAAATTCTTTTACACAATTTTATACCATTGCACGTAAATATTCTATACTTTCCATTTTTTCCATCCGGTTATCTTCGATAAAACAATTTGCGAAGAGCTTGTTCGCAAAAGTGAAAATTGGAGTGGATTTATTAAACATAATTGAAAACGAACGAACACGTTACCTCGGAGTACTTTCCAATAGCAAATTTTCAAAAATCAACAATTTTTATATTTTAACCAGTTTCCGTATGACTTTAATGGTTTAGTATGTTCATTAAGACCAAGTACTCTATCGTTATACCAAGTAAATGGTCTAATTTTAGTTTTAACAAAAATAAAAAAAAAACTACTCATTTTCTCAAACTTTGAGAAATTTTTAAGATTAAACTACTTGTTGTAAAGCCGTAATATTTCAGTAAGTTCTATACGACCATAATATATATCGCCAAAAAAAGTTCCATAAAAATCCGCTTAAATTTTTTTTTCAACAGTTAATTACAAGAAAACGGCTCGGTAGATTTTCACCTAAAACTAATCAGTATCATTCCCAACTAATATCTTTCGAACAGTTTTTGATTTTTTAAAATTGATTCGGTAGTTTGAGCTTAAATGTAGACGGTTTCAAATTACAAAAAAACGGCTCAGCAGATCGTCTCACGATTGTGATACATCAAATATTTATGAAATCGATCCAGCCGTTTTTGAGAAAATGTCGATTTACGGCAAAAAATCTGTTCACACACACGCACACACACACACTTACTTTTTCCATATTTGGTCTCATTCGATTCAGAATCGCTTGAAACGTCAAGAAAACACAAAATTAGCGAGTCGGATTTTTTTATGAAAACATAAACTTCTCCTTCGGGAAGTTAATTAAATAATAACAATAAAGGAGTGGAAGTATCTCAAAACCTTAGGCGTGATTTGGACACCAAATCAGAATTAGCATTTACAACTAATATAAAACTTAATTAAATTCATGTGCATTTAAAATCACGTGATAAACTTATACGTAAATTGCAATTTTCTTGAAAAGTAAAGAGAAAACGAGTACATTTATCACGTATCAGAACTTCTCCATCGTAAGAAGCAATTCAATTCTATGGTTACGCATTTAGGAGAATCACAAAGATTGCTTGAGTTTTCCAACTCACTTATCACTGATTCCTTGGAAGACATATATATATATATATATATATATATATATATCCTTGTATCCTTATATCCTTTCCTCTATGTATTTTTCTAAGTGTATATAGATAAAAGCAAATATGTTAACGCATTGTTAAACTTTATGAAGTTGCGCAAGACAAAGCCTAATAATGTATGAATATTTTAAAGTTTCTCAATTTGTTCGAGTTGGGAATCTTGGAAAACTTTACGAGTTAAATAATGATTAGTCTCAACTTATAGTTTGATATGCACCAATTTAAATATTCTTCATAGTCGTAAAAAAGATCTAGTACTTTTTAATAGCGTAATAAATTATGTCATATAAATTGCGATTTGATTTAAGTAAGAATTATTGTAAAATAGTTGAAACCATGTAACTCTAACAAAAGTTTCTCAAAAGTTTAATTTTTGAACTTTTGTAAATTTTAATTTGCATCATTATCTATAATAATTTTTAAAAATAATGTTAATTTTTATACTTGTAACTTATATAGCAAGATAATTTTTCAGTTCATAAGTTTTCTACAATTTACGATTGTATTATTATTATTGTAATTCCATTTCCAATGGTCAATTAATCAAGTATTTATATATAATATAACATTGGGTATTTTTACTTCGCCAAAGAACTTTCCAAAAGCAATTTATAAGGATTTATTGTCTTCACATTCCTCGGAGCTTAAGGTTTTTATCGTTAAAACTTCTTAGGATAAGATTACATACTCTTTATATTTATTACAGTTCTTTCTACTATAATGTTTGCATATCGATTTAAGGAAAATGGGAAATGACGTCGAAGTATTTTGGAAAATTTTGAGTTGATATTAACAATAAAAATTTATTAACAAAAAATAAATGATGATAATAAATATAATGAAGAATATGCATAAATATACTGAATTATTTAATAAATATTTTGCAAAAAAAAACAAATTTATAACCTTAGTTATAAGACTTTTATAATTTGCTGTTTTATTTCTGTTTGGCTAAGTTGCATTTTAAACTAAAAAATAAGTAATAAAATATCATAATTAACAAATCAGTCGTTTTCCAGATGTCGGACGAATGTTGCTAATTTTTTTTTTATACTAGAATATTTAAATTGGCAAAAGGTAAACCTTTGAAATTGAACTCCGAATATTTTAGGAAAAAATGAATTGTTAAAATTTTACGTGAAACAACACGTACTATATATTGTACACTGAACATCTATACTATGGACATTTTGAGAAAATAAATAATAAGTATTATGTTATCAGTTTGATAAATATTCAATTTATAATTGTGATATAACACTTTTATAATAGTTTAGATTATTTTTGTTTGCTAGTGTTGTTTTTCAGACTTCTAAACATTTTTAAAGTATTTTTCTCATACTTTAATAGTTATTTAAAGTAGTAATTTTTTTTTCAAAAATTTAACAAAAAGTCTTCGAAATATTCTGGAAAAATAAGTATTGGTGACAAAATATGTGGAGATGAATAATGAACTACTTTTGGCATAAAATAGAAATATTAGAATAATATCTTTATATACATTTAATATGCAATACTTCTTATTTTTTTTACTTATGTTTTATTTTAAAGTTTGAAACATTTTTTATAATAATATTTTTTTATTTCATTTTATAATAATTTTATGGTCATTTTTGGATAATACTCTTAAAATATCATGATAAAAATCTGTAGAATTATATTCTTTAAATAGTATTGAATTTCTTTATTATTGTAAAATTTTATACGATTTTATATGATGTATATTTAAAATGGTTTTGATTATTTGAATAGAAAAAATAATCATTTTTACCATTTTAATGAAAATGTTACAGACATCTTCTGTAGAAAATTGTATTTCTGTTCTGAACCAAATCGTAAAGTTCGAGGCTTTCAACAAAGATGGTTCTGAATTCAACATCACGCAAATAGAAATTTTTACATTGTATAAAAATTGTTAGTATATGTTAATAGTAATATAGAATGGAGTTTTAAAAAATGTTAGTTTTTGACTGGTATAAAATAATATGTTCCAATCCTTCACAAAGTTGCCATATAAAAATTAATTTAAATTATATGTGGAATTTTAGATTTATTTATTTATCTGTTAATTAATTTATTGAATTAATTTAATAAATTTTAAGCAACATGATATAAATATTATTTTAGAGCCTTGTCAATCTATAAACTTGTAGCTTTAATTCTTTTCTGAAATATGATTCAATTTTGAAAAAATGAGCCAGCTTAAATTTTTCAGAGAGCCAACTTAATTTTTGCACACTCCTATATTTTCAAGATATTTTTAAATCACCTAAAAAAAATTTATAGTCATAACACAAATATACATTATGCAATCAATCTTTTATAATATTTTGATTTATTTAACACATATTATAATTATTAGTTATTACCCTAATTAACTTGGAAATTTCTCGAAGATGTCAACATAATAAAGTCGATCCATGTTTCCTCATGTCATGTATTATAATATCATCGCTATTTTACATCAAATCCCTATCCAAACAAGATTCTCTAACAGATTGAACTAATTTGAACTTCAGAAGGTCTTAGCCAAATTGTTTGTAACATAATCCATCAAAAGATTATGTGTCAGCTTTACAAGAAGTAATTATCACATACCAATATTATCAAGCTATAAAAAAAATTAGTTCTGTGTCACACTGTGGTGGTGTATGGCATCGTGCCTTAAGGCAAATTGCTGGAACTTCCCGTATGGTAATAAAATGTTCGAAGAATATAAAATATTTTCAAATAAATTATAATAAATACAGTAACATTGTCTAATATTTATCAGAATTATATAAACTGAATTACAAAGTTAAAATTATTTATTTAAAGTAAATAAGTGAGCTTCAGAATTTTAGTCAGAATTAAAAATGAAGTCTGAATTATTTTGTTTGTTTTGTTAACACAAGCACAAAGTTTTTTGAATCATCCAAATCAAATGCTCAATTCTCTCAAAAACTGCCATTTTTTGTACATTTAGCTCTCTATCTTCGAAATGTCTGGACCTGCATTTGCCAAAAACTAATCACCTTATTGGATTATTCAAATCGGATACTCAGTTCTCTCAAACACTCGATTTCTATTTTCTGCACTTTTTGCTCCGTATCTCCGTAACGGCTAGAGCTACCTTTGCCAAAAACTAATCAGTACATCTTATCGGTAGGAATCATATGTTTTTTGGACACACAAAACACACACACAGAGCCATTTTTTCTGAGGTATGTCAAAATGTTCAGAAACCTCTAAAACGTGAAAATATACAAAAAACTTTATTTTCCATTTTTGGCCCATTTCTATAACTTACCCTACGGGAAGTTAATAATCATGTTTCATACTTAAGCCAAAAGATGAGCTCAAAGCATTTTGCTAGGTGATATTACAAAATGTAAAATTGACTTAATTCCACATATTGTATGAAAACTCTGTTTTTGTGCCTTTTCAAGTAGAAGAAATAATATAAATCCAATTTTATTGACAGCATATCAGAATTTGTTTAATGTCTTTGCACTCATGCCAAATTTTGGCTAAAAATCTACAAATTGATGCAAATCAAGCACGAGCTAAATTTCTCAAATTCTACTAATTTTAATGTACATAATTCCATGTACATTACTTTATCAAGATCTATGTGGTACATATCTAAAGAACTAAAAACTACCAATAATTTATTTATATCAAGTTACCTATGACATAAGTATTTTGACAATTCGCGTTTGACAACTTATTTGTCAAGTTTTATAAGTTAATTTTAATTATATTTCTATGTATTTCCATGACTGATTTATTACAAAACATTTTTTATTCAACATTCATGAGTGCCTTTCAAATTAGTATGCAAGAAAATGTGAAAACATGATTGAATCGAAACAAGTTTAATTTTTTATGGGAGCATGCCTAAAAAATTGAGAATTAAACAAGGGTTTCTCATATTTATAATAACTCCTTACACTATTTTTATGATGTGGATAATTTTGTATTTAATGTTATTTTTTTTATTCATTTTAAACATATATTTGATAACGTATTATATTAAATTTTCGCGGAGCGAGGAGCTGTATATCGTCATGTTAACAGGCAATACGAGCTATTTTTTATTAATAATTTTTCTAATAATATCGTTTCTATCATTACTTTTGTGCATCTCCGGTTTTGTGTTATTTTACAAATGTTACAAAAATTTAAACAAGTGCACTCTAAATCCAAAATTATTCGCCCATATGATTTGTGCTGTTTGTTTGCTGATAATCCACGTGTTTTTGGGAACTATTTCTCTGGGCATATCCAAGATTATAAAATTAAATATCCCTGAAGCAATTCAACAAGCTATGTTGAGTTATGCCCATGATATCGAAATGAAGAGGAACGTCGATGGATTGCAAGTGAAACTTAAATGTTGTGGAAATCACAATTATAATGATTGGTTTATGATTCCATGGATCAAGACATATATTGGAGGTTTGAAATACAACAAGTAAGTTGGATAATTATAATAAATACTAAGATACAAATTGTATACTTTTGATATTCAAAAAGATTTTAAAATTTCATAATCTTGCATAAAGTAATCTTAAAATCTATTATTTTTTAGAGAAAAGAAAATGGTTTCCGATGAAGTACCCTTTAGCTGTTGCTCTCCAGGAGGCGCAAAAGGTCCATGTATTCACCATGGTTAGTCAATTTATAGTTATAAATATTTATTTTACATAAGGACATACCCTAATTATTTAAAAAAAACTATATTTGTTGTAATGAATACTTTATTATTTTCCTTAACTGCTTTGATTTTTAGAAGCAAACCCAACTGGTTGTCCTCTTTTTATTTCTCTAATACTTGACTTTTTTCAATTTAATTTAGAAATAGTGAAGAAAGTCTATTTTTACTTAGAAACATTTATGCTAATTTATAACTAGAGTTAACTAGAGTTGTTTTTAAATAAATAAAAAATCATTAAAAAAGCATCTATGTTATCCACGTGCTTTTTTGAAGAAACTTTAACAAAATCCGTTCCAGATTATTTTATACCATTCTGTTATTTATATTGAAATATTTACAAGGTGTTTTAACAAAAAGCCCAATATACAAGTATGATGCTCCCGATCGCCAACACTATTTGAACCAGGAAGGATGCACAGAAGTTTTAACCAGGAGAATCAGATCATCATTTGCAAGAACAAATACAATCTGCTTTTTAATGGCGTTTTTACTGGTACTTATAGCTATTTAAAATTATTTCTGATTCAGTATCTAATTTGTAATAATTTTTTAACCTCTTTTTATGTACTAGTTTATTTTATGTATTTGCGAGAGGTTTGTCCAGACAGCACACAGTGTGAAAAAAAATCTTTTCACAGACCAAGAAAACGCCAAGAACGTAGTATGTTGGATTATTGGCAAAAAGATCCTCAAACCATATAAAACACAACATGAATTGTACGATTCACCGTAAAAAATATTAAACAAAAAATATAATAGAAATCTGTTGTCAGTCTTATTTTATTTCTATTCATCCCATTATCGATTTATACTAAAATACCCGAAACGCACGTTTTTTTCTGTAAAAATCTGTAACCACGCCATCTAAAAATAAAACTAGATTGTCGAATATATTGAATAATTTAATATCACAATAATCCGGTGTTATACGATGCCAGGTACCCGATTGTTAGACGACACAATTCAGTTGAAAATTTAATAAGAAAAGTTTGAAATAATTGATGCTTGTTAGATATTCAACCGCAATTTTATATATCAATTTGAGGAAATTTAAATTATAGTATTATGTGATAGATGATTGCTTGTAATGTGTGTCAGTTTTAAATTTATATACAGGTTTATAAAATATTTACTATTTACTTTATTCCCATGTATAAATTATACTTTTTTTGTTATATGTCCATTAGGGTAGTCCAAATTGATAAAAAAAATCTCTGAAAGTTTTAGCTCTTAAGTTTGACTTTAATATAGTCAGCACTCCAACCAAACTTTTTTGGTTCTTCTTCCTAAGAAAATACATATTTCATAAAATATATCAAATTTTTGTTGTAATTTTTTTATTTATGATCAAAATAAGTAAATACAATGTAATTCCGAAAATTTTGATTCACTTGCCGCTAAGTTATAAAACAAAGGGAATTTTACCCATAATATTTCCATAGAAAATTTGATTGAATTGTGGACTATCTTAAAGTTAATATTAAGAGCTGAAACTTTCAGAGAATTTTTTTATCAATTTGGAAGCATTTGAGTCTTGGGAGCAAGGTAATTCTATAACATCCATATTAAAGAACAACCTAATGTCCATATATCTTAAGCTCTAAAGTGATACAAAAGGCTGCTCTATTATATTTAAATATATTTAAAGGGCTTCAGAATACTACAAACTTGGCATTTTGCTTTAAGACTAGTGTGAATAATCGACTTCATCGAAAATCATCAGGCGTAATAGAAACTAATTTAGAATAATTTATTTAGTATACAAACAAATATCAACATTTTGCAGATTTTTACAACTTGTGAAATTTTGCAATATTTATATTTTTAAAATATATCTATATACATTTATGTGTGTGTATGACATATGTTAGTATTTCACTTTCTCACTGTCATTTGACATTTACACACGATTTCCATATGGTCTGTCAATGGCCCTGGTGACATAAAATATTTATTTATGTGGTAATTGGATATTAATTGATTTCTGATCAATACAGATAGTCAGCGACAAGCAGAAAAGGTTAAAAGGCTTTCGTAATTACGATTTTTTCATCATCGAGGTGAAAATGAACGCTGTAACTTTTTCAATACATTATTTATTATCGAGGGATTGTGACTCGCATATAAATTATTAAAGGCTTAGCATTAATTAAAATGTAAGAAAAAAATCGTTAAAAAAATTTCAATTGATAGTATCGAAATAAAGTATCTGCAACTGTATTAATTAATTTGTTTAACATATTTTATTTCATCAAATTCGGATTCTAAAAATGTATTAGATTTGAGTGTGGACGTAAACTACAATCAGTAGGTACTAGGATTTGTGGGTTTTTAAACACTGGTCATTTTAGCAAAAATTATAAAATTTGAAAACTCGCTTTATACCAGAAAAAAAAATTGGTTTTTAATATAAGCATGGGAAAAAACAAGCTAAATAATTCAGGTGGATGCAAGATGCAAGCATATCGGATTCCGGAAGCTAATTTGTCCGATAAGATTTGGAGGGTTCATTCTGATTCCAAGAAACGTCGTATATTGTTTATTGTATGTATTAATTTAGAATGAGATATTTTATCAGTTTCACAGCTGTTTTTTATGTGTAGTTTATAAATTGATTATAACTCATTATTCAAAAAATTAATTGATGAATACACCTGAATTAAAATGGTTAAGAATAGAAAATACTCGGTTTTTTTGTTTAATTGTTTTTAATACTAAAATAGACTTAAATGAGTATGTATCGAAATAAATTAATCTAATAAATGTATTTATGCTTGGAAAATGTTTTTTTATTCAAACACTTTGCTAAATAACTCGTTTCACTATTATAGAAAGATTTGCTTCACTATTATAAAAAGATATGTAAAAATTATGCATTAAAAACGAAAAATTATTTTTAATGTTATTTAATCTCGCTCAACTATTTTTTTTATTCTATAATTATATCGTTATACAAAGTTTTATCAGAATCGCCAAACAATTTTTTTCAACATTCAATTACAAAGAAACGGCCTGGCCTATCTTTACCAAAAACTAATCAAGGCGATTGCCAATATCTCTCGAACAGTTTTTGAATGTTGGAAATCGATTAAGATCATAGGCTAAAACGTGGAAAAAAAATACACTCCTCTGACAATTACAAAAAAACGGCTTGGCTGTTCGTGGAACAATACTGATAAATAGTCGAGTTACATCCAATGGCTTTTAATTTTTTTAAATCGTTTCAGCCTTTTCTGAGAATACGTGGACGAAAAATCAGGAATTCGTTCTCATACACACATACATACTTTTTCTAAATCTAGTCTCATTCGATTCAGAATGACTTTGAAAAAATCGAGAAAACATAAAATTAGCAAATAGGAATATTTCGTGAAAACAAACTCCGAAAAGTTAATAAATAATATAATATATATATATATATATATATATATATATATATATATATATATAGATAGTATGATGTGCATATGTCTAATGAGCATTTTTAACCGCCAAATATATTATTATTGTTTACTTTTTTATTGGATCTTCGGAAATACTGGATATGCCTCTTCAAAAATTTCACTAGTTGTTCTTTTTGTCAATACAAGTAAAGAGTTTTTAAATTATTCAAACTGATATGCCATTTTTGGCACTTTTTGCCTCGTATCATCGAAACGGCTAGATCAATATTTGCCAAAAACTAATCAGCACGTCTCCCTATCAATAGGAATCGATTGCTTTTTGAATCATTCAAATTGGTTTATCCATGCTTCCGAAAACGTGGACAAAAATAGTAACCTCATATACATACACACATCCATTTTTTCTAAAGTATGCCAGAATGTTCAGAATCCTCTGAAACATAAAGATATGCAAAAATTTTCATTTTCTATTTTTTGCGATTACTATAACTTACTCTACGAGAAGTTAAAAATTAAATGAATAAATAACTAAATAATTATACATTTGAACAAATAAATGAATGAACATATGTATATATCCCTCGTCAACCCTCCCTGTCCCTACTCCCAAGATCACCCAGCCACGTTGTCCCACCCCATGAGTTCGGCGCCCGGCCGAGATGTCGACAACTCAGCTGTTGGCTTCGATTCAAAGAAGCCTACATTACTACACGTACAAATGTCGACAGTGTAACACACTATAATTATCTATAGTATAATACAGCAAGTGCTCACGTTGAATTCTGTCTCCTACAGTAGGTTATACGTCTCTCATAAATTTCAGTAGATCACAACACATCGCGCGGACGCCGTAAGGAAATACACGACAATAATAATCGCCCGGAAAAGTAAGAGTAAATGCTTGAGGAGAGCGAAACGCGCGCGTGCCTTGTCTCTATGGGAAAACTTCAATTTTCAACGAATTTTTCTTGTAGATGACGTGAGTTTTCAATAGTTTTAGCGAATTTAATGGGGTAGATTTTTTAAATTTGTTGGTAGTATTATTTGTTTTGCATAAAGCCACGTGTGAGTGCCGCAGAGTGACATTGCTGGAATTATTTTGTGATTTATTTGCACAGGTAAGTTAATATTTACTTTTGTAATTAACGAATATATTGCATAATGAATATGTGAATATGTAATATTCACATATGTGTGATACAATTTTTTAGCACAAAAATGGAATTTTTATAAATAAATTTTGTTTTATAAATTAATATTTGCACAAGAAAGTGCATATATATTTATCAATTTAATATTAGATTAAATATAAACCCAGACATAGTGATTTTTTCTGCTGTTTTGTAATACATTTTAGTACTTGTTGATTTTATGACTCATTTAGGAGTAAATTTAGTACTTACGAGTTCTAGAAAAATGATTCAAGTATTTAAAACTAGTAATCAAATCTTCTGTTTCTAATATTAATTCACAAGATGTTTCGTGCCATTTTTATTTAAACTTATGGGTCCCCAATATATATGTGATATGAGAAAATATGGATTTTCGCAGAATTTCTGAAATTGTTATTAAAAATATTATGCTTATTAAAAATCAATATTTTTATAAATTCTTATAAACAAAATATTTTTAAAAATTGACGCCAAAATACAATATAATTATAGTTGATATCAAAATTCGAGTATTGTTTATAATATAAATTTTTGTTACATAATTACATTTTTGTTATTAATATAATATTTATAATTTATATTTTATATATCCATTTTTATTAAAAATATTAAAAATTATAAAAAAAATATTAAGGGTAAATTATATCGGTAAGATCAAATCTATCCATATTTTTCTAATACCTACTTCAAATAAACTATAATCCGTTAAGTTATTTCAATAAATCTTAAAATTTAAATATCTGAAAATTTCAAATATTTTCAATTCGTAATTCGCAATTCGAAAAATCATAGTATAATAATTAAATTTTGTCATTGATTATGCCACTAAATGCACATAATTAGAAAAATAAACTTTTTAGAAATGAATTTAGTAAAATTTGGTACATTCAAAGTTTTCAACTTTTTTTTTTGTTTATTGTTCATAGCAATATATACACACAGTTTGCTATGAGCAATAAACCAAAAAAAAAAATTGTTGAAAACTTTGAATGTACCAAACTTTACTAAATTCATTTCTAAAAAGTTTATTTTTCTAATTAATTTTTTTCAACAATTTGTCATACAGAACATTTATTTTCAATTATATTCTGCAATTGAAATCTATAATATAAAGCACCCTGAAAATGAGTCTGAGCTTTTATACCTCTTACAATGAC